TGAAAGAAGTGGCTGTAAAACGGTAGATAGTCACAACCCCTGCGATATGACTGGTTCACTGTCAGAATTTGATCCATTCAGTCCAATAGCATTTGGAGTCTATTAACCGCATGGTTAAATCATTTTCTCCCCATTCAAGGTAGCTGAGGGCTAAACCGGAAGTTAGCAGCTCGGCTGGCACCAAAGTGCCATTTGCAGGTATATGCTGTTTAATGTGGTGCAGCTGAGCAACTAATTGGCTATTTATTCTGCAAACTGACGTTGGCTGTGCGCTTTTCCTCGGTTAATATTTATTTGGTCACTTGTTCAACAAGCTAAGGATCGGAACAAGATTTGTGTTCATGTTTGTAAGTTCGATAAGAATGGGACTTTAGCAGGAAAGCTAATGTGGCTCATGTGTCGTGTAGCTGCTGTCTGGCTCAGTGTGACCGTCTGTTCTGCTTATTATAGAACACTGGCCTTACTTTTTTATGCAACATTTGAATGGCTATATTGAAGCTCTCCATCGACACAGACGGAAAATAGAACTGGTATTCTGTTGAATAAATGCAAAACTACTACCATCATGAAACCATAAAATATAAATTCCTCCCATTGGGTTTCTCAAAAGAGAACACAAAGTAATTTACAGAGCAGATAAACAATATGTATTCTCATTTCAGGACATTTAGTTATACCTTGGTGATCACTTAGGCAAAATGTGTCCTCGTAACATTAGGCAGACATGGTGGAGTGCTTTGGGACCATCTTTATGTCTGCAGCTAGTGCTTTAGACAAAACCAACCATTTTTGCTTTGAGTATTAATAAACATTTGAAGGTGTCATATGTAAGATTCTGAAGCATTTCATGTATTACTTTTATGTCACTTTGTATTGCTAATTAGTCAATGAGTTGTAAAGTAACTTAAATGAGACCTTCCTTGACTTTCTATTCTGTTCTAGCTGTTCTGGCTGTGGACTGGTTGGTGTGTAAAAAGATAATGAATGACAATATAGTAAAACACAGTAATACTATATTTCTTCAGAGAAGTTGTCAAATTCTTCTTGTTGACAAATAAATATTTTAACTTTAAATGTTCATATATCTGTGTAAGTTATGTGTTATACACCATTAACTACAGGTTTATATTGTTTATAACTGTTGAAGTAAAGTGTTACTAGTATTCCTAATATCTAAAATGCATGTGTCACAGCGTGGGTGGGAACTAACCCACCAGGAGGAAGCCCACACAAGCACAGCAAGAATGTACACACAATATTTTTTTTTGGTACTTTTGGACTGATGCCGTGAGAGGACAGACTCTGTAGTTGCAAAGCACATTTTACAAGCGGCCAACTGTTCAGCTGTGAAAATTAACTTATTTAGTGGCCCTAATTTTGAGTTGGCAGAGTGAAGTCAGATTTTGGACCAAAGTTTGGCTACAGCAACACAAAGCTACAAATAGGGTTTTGTGTGTGTGTGTGTGTGTGTGTGTGTGTGTGTGTGTGTGTTAAACAGTTAACAGTTAACAACTAAATCCTATAACAAATAACAAGTGGTTACCACATTATTCAGACCTGACCGGGACAGATGAATCCCGTATGGAGGAAATCAGGTTTCTCGTTTTCATTACTTTTCAGAAATCAGACTCCTGCTGAAATCTTGTAATAATCAGAATATATTTACTCCATGTAAACACAGTCTGGTAAGTTGTTCATCAGCTGATTTGAGTACTTGCGTGAGCACTGTCATACCAAACCAAATGAATGCTGTATTCATCAACACCAAACTGCTTTTCTTGCTGTATTATGTTGAACGTTCTTTGCTTGACAGATTCATTTCTTAGGTCTATAAATTTAGCTGTAGTAGGTGATTGCATACAGAGCAGTTTTATATATATCTAATTTATTTAGGATAGTGACAAGAGTACATTACTCATACAGTTACCTGAAATGAATCACAGTGTAAACAAAGCCACCAGATCACATCATTACAGAGGGAAGCCATATTGTATGTGAGCTAATCTCAGACAGAACGGCTAAAATGGCTCTCTATCTCCGGGGGAATGAAAGACAACCATCCTACAGAGGAAAGAAAAATAGATTGGTTGAGGACAACATGATTAACAACATGTTTGTTTCTCCAGTTAATATGTTGTCTTTCATTTAATTGTATGTCTGTGTGTGAGTGTGTGTGAGTGTGTGTGAATGAACAAGAGAGAAGGAAGTATTCACCAGTTTGGCCTTTAGTGAAGTTGGAGAACATGTTTCCAAACTGGAGGGGGCTCAATGGAGCATGCTTAAGTCAGATCATGTGTGAGAGTGTGCATGCATGCACGTGTACAAGTGTGTGTGTGTGTGTGTGTGTTCATATGTGCATGTATTTTACTGCAGTACGAGTGTATTTTGGTATACGTGGGTGAGCTTTGGGATTGACGTCCTTGATTCTTTATGTGACATGTCAGAGTGAGTGTGGCACGTGTGTTTGTGGCAGTGTGAATGTGTGTGTAGTTGTGTTGTGTGTGTTGGTATGCAACAGGCGAATCATTCTATAGCGGGGTCATGTATCATCTATGATGGCCAAC